TTCAAAAACCAAAATTGCCAAGTTAGCCTAACTGTGCACTGAGAATAATTTATACAAAGCAATATGAATTATGATAAATTATAATTTTTTATACAATTTTTTATTCCTTGCTTTACTCCATATTAATTTATTTCTGCGAATGAACAACACTGTAAATAAATCTACAATATATACAATTTAAAAATTAATATAAACATTATAACAATGAAATTTATTATATACTTTTTTAAAGAAACACCTTGAAAATCTAACAGAAATGTTACAAAAAATCATATAAATTATATAATATTTTAATAAAAAAATAATTTATGTTGTAATTTTTTATAAAATCTATAAGATTATAATGTTGGTTTCCTAAAACAATAATTGTGTTATCATTATAACTAGGTTTTCTAATTTTCCTTTGCTAAAAAATTGCTATATTTTATTCAGAAAATACAAATATATGTAAATTCCCCTTAAATCAAATACAATATATATATCTTTAAGAAAATATATATTTCAATTCCCCTTAAATCATGTACAAGATACATATTTTTTCCAAGTGTTTGTTTAGTCAAGGGTCAAGTACTGGCACTGGGCTGGAAAGGAGTTAAGGAGCACGAGTTGGTCATAAATTTCCAGGTGCTGCTGGCTTTTGTCCAGAGTTGCCTGAATTATTGTCACTGGCAACAATGATGTGGCAGCATCAGGAGTTTCCCAATCCTTGAAGAAGGACCCAGAAAGTCCATAAACCATAGGCTGAGGACTCAGCTTTTCCACATGCAGCCCCCTGTTTTTTTATTTCCCTTTTTCTTGTGAGTTGAGCCCTTACAAAGTATTATCGAAGTGGGGTAATAAAAAATAGGAAAATATGTTTGAGATTTCGGGCTCTTTCGGTTCATATCTAAATTACGCTCATCCGCAGACATATCCTGTGTGGAGAGCGCCGACATTAAATAGGGAAACTTTGTACAATTTTTGTAGCACACTTTGCGGCGTTGGCGTTGGCTTGGGGGGAAAAAGGATGCGAGGAGAGGAAAAGCCTGCAAAACCCAACAATGACTCGGGGTAAATATTCTTTCCTATTTCTCGGCGGATTCCCCAACTCCCTCCCCCCCTAGTTAGGGGCGTGGCTTTGGTCCAACTGCCACCACAAAGATCCTGGCGGCCACATAAATCCTGCAGGACGACTTGGCCTGTTGGAAACTGCAATGCCAAGGCAATGGGAATTAAAAAGATGGCGAAAAGAAAAGCCACCAGGGGCATGGTGGAAAAACAGAAATGATAGAAGAGAAAAAGCAAGAAGGAAACTACAAAAGAAATCGCTTGCCAGCCAAAAGGGAAAATTGCATTACACAGATGTTGCCAATTTCCAGAGAGACTGGGGGGGGGACGGTAAGAGTGCAGAGGGTGTTGGGCTGGAAAAATCCAAAGGAAAATTCTCCTCTATGTCTGTGTAGGTGTGGCTGGCGGGCCCTCCCTTTCCCACCGCTCAAGAAGTGCTAAAGAAAAAGTCATAAAATGCAAGCAAGAAAAGAAAATTGCAAATGAAATGTCGAGAGTTTGGCGAGGAGCTTTTCCCCCAAAAAGGGGCACGAGGAGGTTGGTGGTAAGAGCTGACTGGGGAAAAAGCAATAAAATGGCGGATATAAAGAAAAGCGGTGCCCAGGCAGGATTCTCCACCATGTACATGGAAACTGTATATAAACCGCCTCGAATAAAGAGATTTAAAAGGAAGCCCGGGTATACAATGAAAATGCTTCTTCTTCTTCGCAGGAGATACGAAATTATTTTTGCATTTCACTGGCAATTAATCTTTCAATTTTCAAACACCAAAAGATAATTGGAGAAAATTACTTGGCTTGGAAAAAATGGCAAAGGGGGTGAAATTGGGTTTGCTCAGCGAAAACTAATAGAAAGCAAGATGTAAGGTTTAAGAATTGAATTTAATTTCTTAAATTTAAATCGAATTTTGAGTATAGTAAACAAATAGATTTTTGTTAGTTATCTTGCTCATTTAGGAAGTTATCTTTTGTGAGATGCAATAACAATGTTTACGCTACTGATTTATTTTTAAGTAAATTGTCTACATATGTATTCTAATTTATTAAAGACTTATTTAAGTATTTCATATTTCCCTAATTTAATTAAAGAAGAAAACACCTTGTAACAGTCTGCAAGTTTAATTTAAAAATTAAACAAAATGCCAAAACTTAAAATGTTCACTTTCAGGGCTTCAGAACCTCTTTGAAATGAATTCGTTATGAAGAAATTTACATTCCGCAGAAGTTCCGGCAAGTTTGTTCTATAAATAAACCTAGTTGGAGGACCTTCTTAGCCCCCTAAAAACCCCACCTTTCGGACTTCTTAGCCCCCTTGCACCATCATCGTCATCGTCGTAAAGTTCTGCTCGACGCAAACTACAACGGACAAAATTAAATTGCCAGCAAAATTTGGAAAAACATAAATTTTAAATTAGTGCAGGCCAAAGGACCCAACGAACCCCTTAACCCTACAGAGCAAATACACCGAGAAATAAATGGGAGAATTAGAGGATTTTGAATAAGAATAAAACATCGAAGTTTTTCTTTTTATTAAGCTGATTAATATTTTTTAGTATTTATTCTCTTCATATTTTAGCATTTACAAAAGTTATAGAAATTAAAATAATGGCTTTTATTCTATTATTTTTAAAAAGTCTATACTTTTACAATAAAGGAAATGTTAAATCTTTTATTTTGAATATTTTCTATAGGCATTATTTCAATAAGATACCTTTAATTCTATATTTAAAACTATTTTGTAAGCTTTATAAAAATGCGAATTTATTCATTAATTCAAAAATCTACTTAAATTAAGGACCCAAATATCAAAAGGAAATACACCGAAAATGTTTCCTGTGTAGCCCATTTGAAACCCCAAAAATTAAGCATAGACTAAAGCCAAAATATTGTTTTTACCTTGTAAGTAAAATATTTATTCAATATAACAATATATTCTGATTGAGTGTGGCAGGAACGGGACAGAGCAATATAGGGACACAGAGGGAGTGACTGAAATAGATAGAGAGAGGGTCCTTTGGAGAGAGTAAGAGGGAGAGCGAGAGTGCGCAGTGCTGAAATTTCGGAGAAAGGACTTTTTCCACAAAGGAAATGCCTTTAAATTGTAAAACGAGACGCATAAACAAATGCACAAACACACACACTCACACAGACACAAGCTCTTAAGTAAATAATAAAGCAAAAAAAATTCAAAAGCAGAAGCAATGCAAAAACAACCCGCAAAGACAAAAACAAAAAAATAAAAGCAGACTGAAGCAAAGGCAGAAACCAGTACATAGCGGAACGCTGTGGAAACGGAACACTGCGCAGTGTAACGCTTTTAGGGGCGGAGTTTCGGCGATGGAAATGGAATCGCAATCTGAATTGAAATGGGAATTGAAATGAAACAGAGCGAGCAAGGTAGCGAATGAGAGAGAGGGAGCGAAAGCACTCACACACTGAGCGGAATGACAAACAAATACAAATGTATTGCCGCTCTGTCGACGTCGGCGTCGCTGCCCCAATCTGCTCCCCTTTACCCCCCCACTTAAACCCATCGTTCTTCATCGTTTTTCTCTTCTCTCTTTTTCTCTTGTTATTACGTCCTTGTATTTGTTGTGAGCAGAAGCAATCCCCGAAACGTGTTCAAAACAAATAAAACAAATAAAACAAATTATAATCAAGCAAGCGAAAAGCAACAAAAAATAGAAGGAAAAATAAGAAAAAACAAATCAACATTTTCTAAATTTTTGGAATTTAAGGGAATTTGATTAGAAATAGGGCCAGGGAGCACATCAAGTGAGCTAAAACTTTAATTTTCCTTGCTTTTGGCTTTAAATGTTGCATCTAAATTTGGAAATTTTTTATATTTTTAATTTTATTTTTAAGAGAAACTAAAGAAACTTTAAATTAGGTACTCTGCAAAATCCGACGGCATTTTGTTAAATTGACTTAGGCAAGCAAAGGTATTTTCTTCTTTAAAAACATGTATTTTAATTATGCTTTTACTAAAATGTAATGTTTAATTTAATTTACAAATATAATAGGATTTCTTTAAATTAAATAGATATAAGTCCCATAAAATATATGATCATTATTCCTTAAAATTATATTCCTTAAAATTATAAGATGAGGAGTAGTTTTTGATTTAAAAAAGTATTCTTTAAATTATTACAATAAGTGCCCTCGAAAATACATATATGTATATATGTATGTAGAAACTTTTTTAAATTGTAATTTTAAAACGGTTTTTAAGAAAATCAATGAAATTACCTATTTATGTAAATATAAATTACAAAAGTCTAGCGTTACATATTTATTTATTAAATCTTATTTATAATAAAGAATACATAAAATTTATAATAAAATAATTTGAATTTAACTGAATAGTTTATAAAAACCAAACTTTTTTCTTATAAATAATATTATTTACAACTTCTTATAAAATATTCCAAAAATAAAAGATACACAATATAAGAACTATAAGATACAAAGATACTATTCCACTTCTTGGTGCTCATGCTGTGTGTTCTCTTCTCGCCAAGACAATTAACCCCCTGCTACGCCCCTTGCCCATTTAAATACAACACCAGCGAGGTCTCATTTTTAGCCGCTCTTGCATAAAATTATCAGCGGCAAAAATTATAGCAAAATGCTACAAGTTTTTTTTGTTGGTTAATTTGCATCTGGTTTTGTATCAGACATTTTAATTACAAAGTGCTACAACAACAGGTTCATTTCAATGTTTCAGTCGGCCCGTTTAATTACCTTTGATTGCCGGGGAAATTATGAGAACTAATTGATGAACACAAATCATAATTTCTAGTATGAATTCTAAAGTGAAATTTAGCGTTTGAGCATTATTAATAATATGGTTATTATTGTAAGGAAATAAGTACTAAATTCTAGACTGTATGTTTTATAGTTTAGACTTTTTTCAAAGCTAAAATTCTTTAAAAAATGTTTTTCTAATTGCAGATCTAACCTACTTAAAGATTCTGTGTAACTTGGTAAGTACTCAGAGAATATAAAAAACTTTAGCAATATATTTACCCCAATATTTCAAAATTATAATTAAATGTATTGAAAAACCTTATTTTTAAGGCTTTACCAAAAATTAAACACAAAAACGAATCTTGCTTCTTGTAAACTTCCTCATAAATTGTATTTAAAATTACTTTAACCCCATCCAAGAGCCACCAGGACTCATTTAAATTGCCGACGGTAGAAGCCGTTGAAGAAGGCAAGGACCCAACCCGACCCTTAGTTCCAGGAGCAACCATGTAAGCTGCCATTTTTCCTGTATGAAGACGGCATAAGAGGGTTCCGAACGTCCAACTGAAATTGAGTTGAAAATGCTTTCTTACAACTAAATCAAATGTTTTGATAAATTGCCCGGCACACGCAAACATTTCGTTTGGACAAAATGGCCGAGAGAGCGAGGAGAGAGAGCTGTCGACCCGATATAGTCGATGCTTATCTGGCCATTAAAATGAGGCCAAGACATTTTAGCATTTTAGCTCCCTTAATTGCGTGCTTTTTAATGGGATTTTCGCATTTTGCAAAGCAAAAAAAATCACCATCACATTTTGTTGTGGGGTAATGTGGGTATTTCTCTCCGAAGCGCATCTTATTTAGCCCTGTTTTTATGTGGTCTAAATATAAATATTTACATTATTTAAGCCGCCAGTTGTCAACACAACAATTGAGCAATTAAATGGGATATCTGTGCAGCGATCTTCCCATGACTTATCTGGAAAGAGGTTCTTCCCACAAAAAGGCACACCGAGAGCTCATGATTTCGCTGCCCAGCAATTTTCATTTCAATTTCTGCGCACGCGCAACATTTCAGCCTCCTACTCACGTAGTAGTGGGGTTTTCTTTTTTTTTTGCCTTTAGTTTTACCATTTTTTCTTTTCATTTTCCCCCTTTTGGTTCCATGACTTACACAATTTATCTGTGATTCCATGCGATTCCATCTTGAGCTTGTGCAGATTTTCATGTCATGAGCTGGTCTTTCGGATGTTTTAGGGTTGTCATCGTCTCGCTGTATTTATGATTATTGTTATTACTATTTCATCTTCTCGTACTGCCTTCTCTCCGCTTTTTGGCCTAAACGTGAGCTTTGAACTTGCCAGCCACTTCAATCCATAAGAAATTATTGAATTCGAGGTTGAGGTTATCCCAGCGCAGGTAAATTGCTGACCGAAAGGTAATTTAACACAAGCCAAACTTTTGGGGGAATTTCTTTTCGAATTAAATTTTATATTCCGTTTTGAGGGGGCACTTTTGGGAAATATAAATAAAATAAATTGCAGCTCTTTAAGAATATCAGCTGAAACCCTTTGATAAATGCTCTGAAAATTCGTATATCTCATAAACTCCCCATGCGATTCCCCCCGAAACCTTTACACCTTTCCAATAAGTTCAAAGTACACTCGCATACCAATTTTCAACTCCATCTGCCGTAGCTTTCCTAATGGGTTAAAGCCCTTGGTTAGGCCTATGGGTTCTGTTATTCTCTCGCGGCGCTTTCTATTTTTATGTGGCGCGTGTGTGGAATCAATGAAATGGAAGATAATTGCACACACCCAGCATTTCCATTATTATTAACATTAACATGAGCAACAAGGACAAGGGGGCGGGATGGGCATAGTAAGGTGGAAGCAGGGAGCAGGTGTAGTAGCAGCAGCAGTAGCTGGCAAGCAAGCAACACGTGTGAAAATCAAATTCCATGGCATCACCTACGCAAATTACAAAATGAACACACGCAGGGCGATGGCCAACGGGACGAGTGGGGGCCAAACGAGGGGGGGTTAAGGGTGCCGAGCGCATGCCTGAGCACCAACGGGTTAAGCGTGTTAATCATTTTAAGCATTGACCAGCCGCAGCTTCCTCTCAGTGATGTCAAAGGTTGGATAACAGAAAAATATAGCTAAAAAAGATAATATATTTTTGATTTATTTTTATAAATTGGTTAAAATATATTTACAAGTTCATTATAATTGGAGCTATAAATTTTATTATATTTTTAAAAAACCTAAAATTTGTATTATAAAAAAGCTTATACATTTTTGTAGTCAAATACAACATTTAAAATTTAATTTAGTTCAAAATTATATATAATCCCTATACTAATTATTTAATAATTTTAACTTTTAGCTACAAAACATCCAATATGACAGCCTTTTCCTTATTTTGGCTCTCTCTTTCTATAATTTTCCCTGGCTTCTCTGCTCCTCTCATTTTCCTAGCCATTCATCGATGATTATTGCGTTAATTATTATCCTGCATCCTGGGTTTTCAGGAGTTCGATGGGTTTATATTTCCAAGGCATACTTGTGCGTAAACTTCAAAAGGAATCCCAGCTATTTTCGTATGAGGCTTAACCCCTTGTTGCCCCCCTTTGCGAGGTCTTTGTCCTGGCCATTGCCTTCGGCGGCGTTTGTCCAGCTGCTGATGCCGCCCTGCTTTTCCCAATTTCCTCGTCCTGTCAGCCGCAACTGACCTAATAATCATTTTCAAAGCGAAAAATTTTTGCTGTTGCCGTGTTGGTCCAACTTATTTCATTCACACTTTGTGGGGTTTTTTCTGGGGGAGGGTTAAAGGCAGTCGGATTTTCGGGGGCTCCAACTGGCTGGTGTTAAACGCTCTGGGAAAACATTTTCCTTTTTTTAGCCCTTTGTGTGCAGCAGCAGGCCTATTGCGTAGAGTTTTTGGGAATGGGTTTTCGGTTGGATTTTTGGCCTAATTTGGGGCAGCTTTGATGAATGTTTTGGGGGGAGAGGGAGAGTGGATTAAACAAGTTATAATAAGAAATTAAGATATTTAAATGTAATTTGGTAACATCAGTAAGTAAATGAATTTAATAAGAAATAAATATATAAATGATAATAAGGTTTAAGCATTTTTACACCTGTATAAACCATTCCCAGTTCCCTTCTATTAAAATCTTAATCTCAGCTTGTCACTAATAGCCCTGCCCCAGGTCATTTCTCATGGTTTAATCAGTGAATTCCCTTAAAACAAAATAAAACAGAACCAGAAACGGATGTAGGCCGTGTCTTCATTAGAGGATTTCTCAGCACCTCTTGGCTTTTTTTTCGTTTTAAATTAAATCATCAATCAAAAATGTGAATCGAATGCAGTGGAGTTGTGACTGTCATTCGATGATTTTCACCTGCAACTTCGATGGGAAATAAAACAAAAAACGAGCAAAGATCGAAGGTACTCAGGGGAGAATTCAATAATTAAGGTGGAGAGCCTTGGCCATACTCTGTTGCCAAGTGCCAATTAGGCATTTTGTACATTTTTCGTGGTCAAAGGCGACAATTACCAGAGACAAAGTGTGAGCGAGTATTGACCACAAAAGCATTTGGCTTTCCATCCGCATTCGACATTATTGCATTTGTCGCTTTATTTGTTTGTCTTACCAATTTCTCTCTGCGGCGACGACGACGACTAATCGAAATTAAATGACGTGTGAATGTTGGCAGCTGCTCCCTGTTCGGGTTCACCTCTCGACGTTCTGTCGTTATTATTATTGCATAGCTTTCGATTGCTGTCAGTCAGTCAGCAGCAGCAGCAGCAGCAGCTCCCGAAGGTTCAGTTCAGTTCAATTTGGCTCCCATTCCTCTTGCCCCAATTGCCACCGGCTTCGTTTCAATTGGTATTTTATATATACCCTTAAATATGGAGGGGAATATGGGTGATTTTAAGGGTTTTGTTATAAATGTGGAATAACACAAGAATCATAATAAAACATACTATATTATATATAAATGTTGGTATTTATTAGATTAATTAACAATACAAAACGTTAAGCCTTTATGGTATTAAATTTGTATATCGAGATAAGAAGACCGATATGATTTATCGAGAAATATATTGCGGTCAATATCATATTGAAAATGTAATACATTTTGATCTTTGAAATTATGAAATATCAAAATATAACGCATTTTATTTATTTTATATATTTTATGTATATATATTATTGATTTATGAAAATTGTAATTAATACAATTTAACGCATTTAAGGTTAACATATCGATATTATCGATAAATGGTATTTCATTTATTTTCTTATATATTATCTTTATTTATAATAAATATTTTTTTATTATAATACAATTTTGAAAAAACTATTAACATTTTAATTGCGACAATTTAGTCTAAAAAAATCATAATTTTGTATGTATCGATTTTAGTGTCAAATATCGCCATAGTATGAATAAATATATAGTTTCTTCCGTCGTATTATGAACATGATATCTATATCTATATATATATCTTTATCAATAAAATATAAAAACACCTAACATCTTAACATTTTAATTACCAATAAAAATCCTATTGTATATTTTCGTTTCGCTCTTGTAATCAAAAGTGTATTCCAAGTTCGACCCTTGATCGAAACCTTAACAATCTGCTCTCGTTCCCTGCCTTTACTTTTTTTGGTTTTTGTGGCTTTTATCAATTTAGTTGTTATGTTGTTTGGCTATTTGCGGTGACCAAACCCCAACAGACCAGACCAGGCCAGGAAGGACCCATAAATTATGACGATTGTCATTGGATGATTGCAATTGCGATTGCTATCCCCACGATTACGATTTACGATGAGGTTTTCGATTACCAACTGGCGTTAAAATGTTGTGTCAGCTTTCATAAATTTAACCTACAGACTTTCACGCCTGATACTATATACAGACATAGATTTGGGCTACTCATTCCCCATGCTGAACATTTAATTAATGTTTAAATAAACCCGAAGATGGCTTCTTCTCTTCCTCATTATTCGTATTTCGCCTCGAGTGATTTGTGGATCACGAAAACTGTGAGAAAATTGGAAAGATATTAGGCGATCAGCGAAGCTGTCTGTATTTTTGTTTTGTGCTACTTATGTTTGATTAAAATTTGTTTAATTTATGATGTCTGACCAAAGTTGAACTTGTCCATAAATTGTACAATTTCATGCCTGATTTGTTATGGCTGGATTTTGATTTGCTTT